TCGCTTAACAACAGTGCTTTGCCGTTGCTTTTAGCCCTTATTTTTGCTCTTGTTTTGTAACGCATTCCTTTATAACGTACAGTCATTGTTGGCCAATTTTTTTCTTTATTTATTGTTTGTTGCTGCAAGCAAAAATCCGTTCCTGTACATGAGCATTTGATGATGAACTCATCAACAACTCTGTGCGTGCATTGCATACAAAATTTATTTATTTTTTTTTGCTGCGTATTTTATGTTGCATGCAGCGAGTTGTTATTACTTATTTCATTAAATTCTGAAGTTATTTGTCTGTTTTTTTTTTTTACGCGGAGAGGGTGCGTAGTAAATTTTAAAACTTTAAAAATTGCGAGTACTTTAGAAGTGTTTTTCGATGAAGTATTAGTACTTATTATGTACAGACGTCGTCAACTGAAATACCGAAAGCCATAACTAACTTCGTCACTGATCCCAGCGTATCAAATTATAGTAATGGGATTAGAAAAGCCAAGCAGTAGCAGCTTCAGGTCCATTTGTGGGAGTAACTCATCGAACACGGCAGCTGTTCGGCAGAAGTGAAATATCTGGATCTAATCCTGGACTCCAAACTCCTGTGGAGAACTTATTTAGAGGCGGCCACCTTCAAATCTATGAGACCGCTGATGGTGTGCAAACGTGTATTGGGAAAAGCCTGTGGATGTGCGATGGCTTGGGTATCCAGGACTATTCTGGCAACGGGTAGGCAGTCCCTCGCCTAGACTAATAGCTTGACGTGGTTTACACATATCCGCTCTAAGACCCCTGAGTGTATTGGAGCAGGCGTTTATGGCCCTAGACTGAAGCTTTCAGTTTCCTTGGGAACCTTCCCAAGCATCTTTCAAGCAGAAGTTTTGCCATCAGTCCGTGCGCAAATCTTCGTAGGAATCATCTAAGGATCCTTATTATAAACGATACTCAGACGCACTTTTGCCTTCTAAATCATTGGATATCAAATCTGGATCACTCCATGGAGTGCAAATGGAAGCTGAATGCCCTTGCTGAGAACAATGGTAACCAACTAATATGGGTACCAGAGCACAAACGAGTCGAAGAAGATGAAGAAGCCGATCAATGGGCCATAATAGCTTGACCCCGATAAGATCTGAAACCTTCCTTGTGATAGCACCTAACACATAAAGGGAAGCGCCACAAAGGAAAATACCAAACTGAGGGAACTACATTGGCGAGACTCGTGCTAAAGAGATATAGGAAACAGTGTTCCGTTTAGGTGGTTATCTACATATTTAGTGTTATCCTGAGTCATTGGAAGAAAATTAGTGATAAAATATTATCAGAGATTTTCTTAGGCAGTTTTTCAAATATTACATTTTATTTATGTTTTGTTCTAAGACGAATCAACAGGTTATAATTTCTTATAATGGTCTAATAAAGCTTTCTCTTTATATTAATGTAGGTAGAATTTTCTAAATATTTTATAACTTTTAGTTTATTTTCGTATAATTAGGTTAATTTTCATTTTTAATTGTTTCGTAGAACAATTAAAAAGTAATTGCAACAAAGTTGTTTGAAAATTAATTGATTAACGCCCAATACTGTCACATACCCGAGTAACAAGGAACCTTGGATCCTTGCACTCTATATATCTATATTTAGGCGTTTTTTAAGGGAGAAATGGAATGACTTTAGGGTGATCACTATCGCTACGTGGATCATCTGGCAACACTGAGAGGAAACTTATAAACCTCCCCAAAGAGAAGCTAAAAATTATTATGTCAGATTTATGGCTGCGCTGAAGACAACATTGCACCTTCCGCAGAAGTGTGACACCTTTTCACGGAGAAGGGAGTGGTGCATACCACATATGTTTAAGGCCAATAGAAGAGCACCTACATTCCCTATCGCTGGGATCTCTTCTAAAACATATAGAGGCTTCAGGGCTAGATTTGGTGTGTGCGATGAGCTGAGGGTACAACAGACTTACTGACGCAGTATTTACTCTATTTATATCTATGTATCTATCTATTGTGGAGAGGTGGCGTGATATAATAATTTTCTATGAACAATTTTATTGAAAAGTCAGTGTGACCAGCCGAGATTTAGCATTTACTTTCATGCCATAGCCTCAGAACTTTAGATGTAACTTACAACTTACTTTTGCACATATTGTGGTTATGTTACCGTTATTTTCAGAAAGTCGGGTTTGCGGAACCTATCGCGCTTTTAAGGAATGAATATACTGACTTATTTTAACTTTAATTTTCATGGTGTTTTTAAAAACGAATTTAGCTTCGCTTTTTGTGATCATCTGGTCACACTGATACGAGTGCATATCCATTTATTTATATATCTTTTATAATTTGAATTGTCGCATATAATCGATTTATGTATACCAGTTACTTAATTAATCAACATCACCTGTATGTACTTCACAATCCTAAACACCATCCGCGGTGTGAATGAGTGTGGAAAATATTTATAAAATGAGTTATTGTAGCTACCGTATTATTTTTGCTGGTTGTTAAATGCTTGACTAAACTTTGTAAAGACTGTTTTTAAAGCTAATTTGGTTTTGAACTTTTAACAACTTAAGTAAAACTAAAAGGGTTGATAATTTGAGTAAAATTGTAAATTAGTATGTTTATGTTGATGAATGGTGCTTTGACCTTGACTAGTCATAAAAGTAGGAATAACATTTAAAACAGTTTGGTAACAGATGATTTATTTAATTAAGCGTCGTTTCGTCGTTTTAATTGACTGTAAATACTATCGTCAAACGGTATTAATAATGGTCGAATAATGGGCATACATACCTACATATTTACGTACATACGTATTGATTTATGGATGCTTTGTGGCTTCGGTTTGCATACATATTTTTTTTTTATTTAATTTTTTTTAAAAAGGGATAAAGTAGAATGTATAGAGGAACTACATATGTAATTTTTTTAATACTTTTTTCATTGAAAACTTGTTTAAGACGTCGCGAAACACGGCGGGTTAAAAAGTATCTCCAAAATGTAGGGTGGAGTGCAAAGATAAACTTCTATCACTGTCACTGAGGTAAATGGATAATCTTCAACGAAAACCTAATCCATACTTTACTTTATAATCTCTTCAAGATTTTTTTTAAAAAGCTCTGTCATAGTCAGTAAGAATTGTTATTCATTTGAATGAATTAAATTAAGTAAAAAATAAAAAAAATATGTGAAAATGTGAAGTGCAGCGAAAGTTACCAACTACGGGACTACATTTAACGATTTTTCAAGTGGTCTACTAGTAGAAAAAGTTTGGGAACCTCTGCTTTAGACATCGGCCACTACGTAGCCCTGATTGTTCTTATAGAAACTGATCTGAAACTTGCTGATCGAATTTTCCCTTACAACGCTCTTACACGATATGTATTTGCACATGTTAATGCTACTTTTTTGTAACTACTCGTATTTACCATATATGTATTAGAACGTATCAGAAAAGTTGCATTTACATAAGCAAATACAAATCGTGTAAGAGCGCTGTTAGCATTTCAAGCTCCTGTATACACTCATTATTTTTGGTACAGTTATATTGCAGTTGGTCAGTTATTGGTGCTAAAGGTTATAAAATAATCGATAGCAGTTTCGTTAAATTTATTTAATAGTCATGTACTACGGTGTGTGAAATACACAAGTACATATTTTAACTCAACTCGTTTTTATTCAAATTAGCAAGTGCTTTCGCTAAATTAGTTAGCTTAATAAATTAAGTCCATGCCAATAGAGATTCAGCTTAATTATGTACATTAGAGTGGTCCAATTTTTGCTTGGGAAAAAAAATATTTCACTCTAGAAAACGCGGCACCCCTTTCGTTTTTTTCCTTTTAATATTTGTAACATCTATACAAACTTTCAGTTTTCTACTGCAACCAATACAGGGTGCTCAATGACCTTGAAATGCGCTACTGGATCGCTGTGAAACTGGCAAAAATATTGGTGATTTTTATAAAAAGCTACTGTCGCCATGACAACTGAAGCTTGTGATATTCTTTAGGTAATTTATATTTGAAATATTCTTAGGTTACTTAACCAATATTTGATTAATATATGTACACAATACTTCTAGAGACAAATATGAGCATTACATAAGCATCCTTTAAATTTATACTTAGAAACGTAAAGTTTAGGGCCAGCACCTCTTTCGGCAAGAGAAAAAAGTTTGGAAGGTGGCCCAAACCCTATCTCGGCAATTTTTTTTTTGAACAACTCTAATGTATATATTTATATAAATACGTACATATATAATATCTTACCAGAAACTTACACTTCAGCCGGCGGTCGTTACCACTTCACTGACGGATCTCCCTTACTTTAACAAAGACGTGGCTGTATATATTTATATAAATACGTACATATGTAATATCTTACCAGCAACTTACACTTCAGCCGGCGGTCGTTACCACTTCACTGACGGATCTCCCTTACTTTAACAAAGACGTGGCTGCCTTAAGAATCGGGCATACTTCTGGGCCGCTTTCGGCTCCACGTTATTTTGGAACTGACAATGTAATGCGTCGTCGCAGGTGTTCATTTTGTACCTTACTAGTACATGACATTGGTCATGATGACAATTTTGGTACCGAAAACTAAAACAAAATATGGTTTACCTCGTAAAATGCTTACCTATTTTGCCAGCAGGTAAATGTATTTTATTTATTAAGATGCCTTCCCAACCTACCATTCTGATGCATAAATTTATGAAATTATTTAAGCTAATTCAAGGAAACAAGCTTTTTCAAAGGCCCACTGATGATTTTTGTACGCATACATATGTACATATATGTATACATACATATGTACTTATAAATGTCTTACATAATAGACAAATAATTCATGTCTTTCAAAAAGAAAATACGAGATTTGCCTAAAGTCGCATACTTTATAATTATTCAGGTTCTAAGCTGCATTTCTACTTGTTGGCATCGCCATTCTGCCTGTTTTGTTTTAATTAAGATTACTTATATGAATTCTTTTATAATACAAACCCAAATATTTATTAATTTAATTGGCGTTCTTTATTCGGAATATAAAATAAAATATATAAGTACTTAGTACATATGTGTTTATCTGCGTGTATCACATTAGCAAACATATGCAAATCCGTAAGTGCAAAAATTGTATATTACGTATGTATTATAATTTTCAAAGACATTTATTCTCATCTAAATACATTGCTGCGATTGCCTCCAGTTTAGATCACTTCTAAAACTACTCTTAAATACTCATAGTGGCGGCAAGTACATTCTGCTTACATTGCTATTCAAAATTTCATTATCTGTATCCGGCGGCGTTGTTTCATAGCCGTATCCACCAACACCAGCACCTACGGGTACTACACCACCCACAGATCCCAATGCTGCATCAACACCCACACTGACCACGGCATCTGTCACTGTCTCTGCATTTTGAATATCTTCCTTGCCGCCAACGCTGAGCACTTCAAACGTGCTGCTGCCAAAATTAGCGCCTACAGCGCCAGCGCTATCGTCCTTCGGCCTCTCTGTGGTGGAGACTTCGATTTCGAGGTCACCCGTTGTTGTTGCACTGATCGTAGGAGCTTTAGCGTCTGCTATTGACTGGAGGTTAACAGCAGTAGTGTCTGTTGTCAGAATTGTCTCAGCTGTTGTGCTACTATCTGGAGCTTTCTCAGTGATAACGGAGGTTTTTGTAGTTGCAATCGGAGCTTTAGTGGTAATTGCTGGCGATTTTGTGGTTACATCTGGTGTAAAGATAACATTCGGTTCTGTTGTGGTTGTTGTTGTTGTGGGATTGCGAGTACCGCCGACCGAGTTGAATTTGAAGCCCAATCCGAAACTGCCACCGATGCTGCCACCAAAGCCGGAGAGCAGACTACTGATTAAACTCAGTTTACGACTTATGATGTCGGTTTTTAGCTGAAAGAGACCACCAGTTTCTAACGAAGCGGAGGAAGAGGAGTAAGAAGTAGCAGACGCGCTGCTATCTGTTGATGGTGCTGAAAGTGAAATTAAAAATACGGAGAAATTTTAAAAATACAATCACTTAATGTAGGAATGTAGGAATGTATGTATTATGTATATGTAAGCTAGTTTGTTTTAAAGGGCCTTCACTTCCCGATGTTTAGAAAACTTTTTTTTTCTCAAGTGGGACCTAAGAACCTTACAAAATTTTGGCTAGGGAAAATCTGTTGAGTTATATCATAACTGCAATTTGCTGGACGGTAGCATCCATATGTACATGATTCAACCATAAGAGCTATTTTCAGCCCTCAAGAAAAATCGCAAGAAATATTTTTCTTTATTTCTGTTGCTTGAAAAAGTTCTTAGCTTGTGCTATAAATTTCCTTGAAGAAATAAATACACGAGCATTTTTTTGGGAGCTGCAAACTGATTTAAGAAATTTTTATAAATGAAGATTTCCCCTTTTATATTTTTTGCATCATTTTATGTGAATTTATCGTTCGTTGGCATCTGCCATACAAACTGAATTTCTTACATTAGAATGTGTATGTGGTGTGAGAAATTCAGTTTGTATGGGAGGTGCCACGGCCCCTTTTTTCAATAACTCCCATGTTTTTCGATGAGTTTGGCGTTGACATTACACATATATCTCTGTACTAAGTTGCATAATTGCAGATATTTGAAATTAATTTCAAGTATTGTTTTACATTTTTCAACATAAATAAATAAAAAACCAGATTTTTTTTTTTTAAATCGCCATGGATAGATCGATGCGAAATTTAATCATATTTTATTAAAAAAAAAGAAACTAGGAATCGGTTATTATTTGGGCTTTCAAAATTGACCTGTCCACAGCAACCTTTATTGCCCCACTGTGCGACGCGAGCTAAATGATATGCAAGTACTTTCTCTCAAAATAAATTTGCATCCCGAGTGGTGAAGGAGATAGCTTTTTTCTAAGACTTTTGTGCTAGAATAACAAAAGTCTTTTGAACTATCTGGCTCTCTGTGTTTCATTTGTCTTTCGAAAGACTTTTTTTACTATCTTAGCCATAATTGCCTTGTAAGAAATTCTTCTGCCCTGATGTCGGTATCCTTTTCTCCTGGATTTGCATATGATTATGAAGAGGGGTAATATCTAGAAGAACTTCCAGGGTTGCTAGCATTTGTATTCCTTTTGGGGATTAAAATCATCAAATTTTGCGCTACAACTGCAACTTTTTTGCTTTACTTCTTCTGTGTACAGTAGACCTCTGATACTTGTTCCACAACTTCGATCAATATCTTTACTATGTACATTAGACCAAAAAAAATTGCGGGTTTTCCATCTGAATTACAAAATGTATTATATTCAAATACGTTCACAAAAATATTTCGGAAAAATATTAGGATTTACGTGAGCTGGACCGGTTTGAAAATACCTGCAAAAATGGAATATTTTATGAACAAAAATAGTTTCTTAAAGAATTTTTTTTAAAACAATCCTCTCAGATGACGAAACGGTTTAAACAACTTAAAAAATCTGCATGAAAATATTAAACTTTTTTTTCGACGGAATCGTAATAATGTGATATTTGTTTTTTTTTTTTTCTAAAATTGGTTTAAGAAAAGTTTGAACTAGGCCAAAACTATACTGACTTAGACTTTTAAAGTGAAGTAAAACGGAAAGGTATTTTCTCACTATTTTTATTTTTCTCACGTCCTACCTTTCTCTTTCATACTTTGAATGAGTCTATTTGCAAAGAAATAAAAAGCGTGAGAAAGTAGCTTTCCAATAATACTTCACAAGTCTAAATCGGTAAAGTTTTGACTGAGTTATTCAAGTTTTTCTTAAACCAATTTTTCCGAAAAGTTCAATAACAGCAACAAAAACCTCTTTATTACGATTCCGTAAAAATTTTTTTTTTAAATGTTTTTATGCGAATTTTTTAAGCTTAAACTGTTTTGTCACTTGAGGTTATTTTTTCCAAAAATATTTTTATATATAAAAAACTAAATTTTTGGAGGTATTTGCGAATCGGTCCAGCTCACGTGAATCTCACTATTTTCCGAAATATTTTGGTGCAAGTCTTAAAATATAATAGATTTTATAATACCAAGGGAAAAACAGTAAAGATGTTTTTTGTATGGGCAGTGATGCAGTCTTATGTACATATTAGATTTGTTTTCCCCTTTCTCGAAATCAATATTTTATGTATCCTTACTTACACACATACCTCTTGTCGTTAAGACGAAGAATTTCGGCGGCAAAAATAAAAACGGTTTCGCCTCAGTCTGATGCCACACCAACGTGGTGGTGCTGAATAAGACTAGAATGATAGCCAACTTTGACATAATGTACCTATGTTTAACTACTCCGCTATGAGTATTCACTATTAATTAGCACCTTCAGATATGTATATTATCGCCACTTTTATCAGTGAAATATTACTTTGCACTTTTACAGATTTTTTTTACTTCCAGGCCAACGTCTTTAGCGTTCGCATAATAGTTTGATACTGATTTTGTGCTCCTGGTCAGTTATTCACTTCAAGCGCGAAGATATTCATACCTGGAGCAAACAGTGTGATACAGAACTGTGAAATACCTGATCAAGTAGCTAATATGTATATAAGAACAACCCTGCAGCGAAACCCCAAACTAGTTAGGTAAAATACTAGTTTTCAATTAGAATTTACTGACTGCAATCGACTTGTTCGAAATTGGCCAGACTTGTACCAAGTCAAGAACGATTTATTCATGCCTTGTTTTATTTGACTTCGACAGTTTAATACAATAAAGTACACAAAATATTATAACTTTTATTTGGGTATATTGTAAACCATTTAAGCGAGTACGTATTCAATTATACCAGACCTGTTAAATAATGATTCATATTCGTAATGATTATTAATTAAACCGTGTTTTTTGGATAACCGTTTAATGATTAAATACCGATATTACCACCTTTTTAATGATTAATAATTAATTACTTAAAAAATGTTAATTATGTAGTTCACTAATTTTAATTACATCATTATTTTGTTATTTTTGATCATTTTCTATTATTTTTGGCTTTTTTTAATTACACGATTATAATTATTATATGCTATAATATAGACAAAAATTAAGAATATTTAGTAACTGCTTGAATTATTTATTTATTGTATTCTTATCCAAATCTCAAACTTTAAACATGAATTATTACTTTTATAAAATTTTAAAAAGAACAGACGGAAATGTGCAAAGTTAATGAATTTAATTTAATTTAATGATAAATTTTATTTTTATTTAAGTTGACTCCAAAATTAACTAAAGTATTTATTTTATTTTTAACTAAAATGTTTTCTTTTGCATATTCAATATTATAGAAAACGAAAAAAAGCATAGTATTTATTGTACCTGAAACCGCTTACTTTTAATAACATTTAATGAAAAATGCATTTAAATATTTTATTGTATATTTATGAATTCATTTTATTTTTGGACTCCCAAAGTAGTGGTTTTGGTCCATTATTGGACTAGTATTTTCCTGTCTATTTTGAACTAGTATGAGAGTGGTATATGTATTTCTGACCGAAATTTGACAATTACCATCTCGTAGGACATCACCAAGTTAAAAATACCAGTTGATTGGGCATGCGGTTCACACTAGTTGTGAGCTAGTTTACAACTAGTACATTTGACTACATGGAATAGTTTCATGACACATACTCGTACACACAAGCTAAGCAGATTTGGCCGGTCTTCTACTTTATAAATAACTTTGTAGTTGATTGACCAGCTCATTAAAATGATTCACAAAAACAGAACGCATAGGTACTCTCATTTTTACGTTTCATGTGCAAACTTCCTAAAGCACTTGCGACGACCTTCACTCATCGGTCAATAAATATGCCGCGCACAAACGCACCCAACTACTTGCGGCTGCCGCTTGCGTATTTTATGAAAAAACTAATATACATCCATATGTATTTATACATATTCCCTAATATATAATGTATCTATGTATACATACAAACATATGTATATGTAAGTAAGCAAGACTTAAAGCCGCTCTGTTGAGCGAAATCAATGACAAACTTGTTAGCACTAAATATTTTTGCCAAATCTCTTTTATCTCCTTCACCTTGAATTTTTCCGTTTATGTACTTAAAGCTCAGTTAGTCAACGACGTAGCGTAAACTTAGGTTGACGTACGTAGCAGCATATAAAATTTACTGTTGATAGAGAGAGAGAGCAGCATCGGCAACGTCACCGCCATGCGGTGATGAGCTTTGGTTAACACCGAATGCCATAAGGTAGATCGTGTCTGCGTCAACCTACGTCTACGTTACGTCGTTGACTGTTTGAGCTTTTACTCGTATTTCTTTTTTATTTATTTAGCGCTCCACAATCCGCAAACAGAACGTTTATGCAGACTCTCTTTTAGCCACTCTAATTTTAGCACAAAATCTTCTCCATTTGATCTTTTTATTCTTTCCAAAGCGCACCAAGTAGAACTTTTCAGGTTTCGTAACAACATCTCAACAAAGAGATGCTATTCATACGAAAGTATTTGCATATATACATATTTACGAAGCATAAAGGTTTAACACCTTAATTCACGCACTTTTCATAGTAAATACGCGTGCGCATGCGTTACATTTTTATGTGCAGGTGGTTCACATTTTGTGTGACTTTTAACCTGCTTTCAGATTATTCTGGAAGTTGACTGCTTAAAAATGTCGAAAGTTGTAAAACGTGTTGTTTGTATATGTAAAATTTTACTGCAGCATTTTGTTCAAACCCTACCACGTTGTTGCCATGGTATAATATATATTTTTTTCTACCGCGTTTTTTTGTCGAGTTATACGAGTTTCAACATGCAAAAAAATTAAAATTTTATTGCATTTTTTAGGCAATGTACAATTTTTTTTATTTTTGTCAATCAACTTATTTCCATAGCTTACTTTCTTAGCTTTCCAACGATATATAAATTGTATTGGGCGTGGCAAAAGGACTACACATTTTTCATAATAGAACGCCCGCCCTGCATTTTTGTCGACAATAACACAAGTTCACAGAAATGAAAAAATTGCCCGACTAGCGACATTTTTATAGGCAATGTAAAATTTTCCACTGTATCCAAGTACGAAATTAAAATGTAAATGGGTAGAACAGTTTTTGAGATATAAACGAATTTCGGGTTTTTGAGATCTGAAGAAGTGCACTCACTTAATTACAATACCAACTAATTACCTTAGCAACAATATGGTGGAGTTTGAACTAGATTCTGTTGTATTTTTTTTTCCTGGCACACTTGGCGAATGTTGCTCAATATTATACATGCATATGTAAATATATACATCTCTCATGAAAACACAATCGCCGTTCGGATCCGGCGTTGTCCCTTTGTGACAACATCATGGCGCACGCTACAAATCGGAGGAGAAGCTCGGCCAAACACTAACATATGTGTAAGCGCTAATCTATAATTATTATAATTTTATTATTATTATTATTATTATTATTATTATTATTATTATTATTATTATTATTATTATTATTATTATTATGAATGTATTACTACGTTTATGCGTTTGTCATTTCGCGAAGTTCATGAAATGCACACTAAGAAGAAAGTAATAGGCTCCAGGAGATTCTAGTTCTATTTCCTTCCGGTACAATGCATACTTTCGCTGTTTTTTTCTTTTTTCCGAATTATGAAAAAGCATCCGTGAGGTGCAGAACGAAAGTGTATTCAAACACAAAAGTTCCTCAACAATTATATGTTTAAAGTAAACCAAACACCGCTTGGCGACAAATCGTACGTGTTTTTATTTGAAACAAACACTACATTGTTTTTTTCTCAGTGTATTTCCGTGTTCATTGAATGGTTTGCAAACGGAGCCTCGTAGTTCTCGTACACGGAAGTTTTCGGCTCAGCGTGGGACTATATTGCAAAACGGATTCTAAACATGAAGCCCCGGGTAGATTTAAAGAGTTTCCTAGTTTGGGTGTTACAGGCACCCGAAAGTCTTATACGGGAAAAACAGCTATCGCACATTAGCCCTTTACTGGCACTAAGTCGGCCGCTAGTAGCCGTGCAGGCAGGGCTAGAAAATCTGGAAATATACTGTCCCGTTAATTCGAAGTGCGTATTTGCTTAAGAGGACAAGCGTTATTCGCTATGAAAGTGTGACCAGACTCAGGACAGAGGTGCTCCGAAGAAGGTGCCCTCGAAATGGAAAAAAACTTCCATCCAAAGTAGCCGTTCTAACCCTCCGTGGCCACCGAGGACGTTTGATGATGTTCCCGAAGAGTATATGGTGCTGGCGACCATCAGAAGTGGAACCCGTATGGAGGTCCATGAGCAAAAGAATCGGGACATCATCCAGAAATAAGCACCACCTACCCATTCCGAAAAAACTGTAGTCGTTATGGTGAAGGTATAGCATAAGCATTTAAATACTCCAGGTGGTACATGCAATTGTGAGAATCCATTCACACTTGCAGCAGAGACACGGATTCTGTAGGTCCCAGATCCCACAAAAGCCCGCCTCGACACCAAACTCAAACAGGAGAAATCGCCTTTTGTGGTCGACAGAACCAGCTTCCACTTTTTAATGCACCTAAAAAGAGGCCCAGGTCGGCGGAGGCTACACATTCGGAAACCTGTGGCCCTTTGGTGAATGCAGTGGCATCCAAATCTTCTGGAAAAGATGTAACAGAAGGAAAACTGCGGCTGTGCTTACAAGTGCCCGCCTCAATACCTCCTCGGCGAAGAATGGCGGTGCTTGCACGATTAGTGCCGCTACCACCGGTGGCCATAGCGTGGGGGTCACTGGTGCGGTAATGACAAATTCCGATATTGCATCTATTTATCGCAGGCAGCGGCAGACGAAGGCGATTTCAGCAAAACTGACCTCTGGTACCACGACATCCTTTGCGAAAACCGAAAGTAAAACAGGTGTAAAAGTTAATCGCGGCAGAACCCCCTTTCCAAAATCAGGCCTCCTGCCCCACGAAAACCTCGTCGATGGCGGGACTAGAGTATAATATCCCCACTACGCACATTAGGTCAAATGATTACTTTTTCTGTGCGAAATTAATAGCAGCTAAAATATTGCATTATTTTAATGTAAAAAGATGGAAAACGTTAAAACAAGTGTAAAGGCAGTAAATAAAATGTTAAACAGACTTGGCTTTCGTAAAACAGAACTTACTGCTTTTTTGTATGTTCAAATGATGAGTATATGTTTTAGGTATTACTCAAAAACATTGTCCAATTAGCTTGGTTTTGACACAAGTTATTTTCTTATCATACACAACCCGCTCCTCTTTAAAATGAGCTATATAATAAAATAAGTATGGTCACATGTACATAAATGGTTTCTTCTAGCGATTAGTTATGGCATTATCGAAATTCCTAAATTAAAAAAAGAAAAATATTTACTACATGTCTCGCAGATATGTCTTGAGGAGAGATTCCTAAAGCAGTTTGTCTTCATAAATCACTTCATTTTCACTTGAGGTTTCAGTATTTCCAAATTC